CAGGTCCCTCATCAGAGAGATCTCCTCTGGTTCACTACAGAGACTGGGTACGTCTACCAAGTAGTTAAATTAAACAGTTTGTTTGTGGAGTTGAAAGGGCATTCACGATTTTCAGACCTGAGGCTTGCAGGCCTGCACCTGTATTTGAGGTAGGGGTACTCTTTCATGTAGACAGCAAGGCATCAACCAGGCATTTCAGGGATCTTCAGAAGAAGCTCAAGGCACTGAGTTTTAACATTATGAACAACAACAACAACAAAAATCCTCCAACAAAATGAATGCACAAACTTTGGGAGTGGGAGGCATAAGACAGACTAGAGGGAACTTCAGTTCCTGGGGAACTCACATCGCTATTTTATCCTGAGAGAGATTTATGTTTTCCAAAGTAACTTTAAATATTATCTTTTTCAAAACTTCACCATCATGGTTTCCTTCCTTTCCCTCAGTCCTTTCCTGTCTTCCTCTTGCTTTCATTTCTCACTTTCTTGCTTTTTCTAGAAAAACAGGGTCAGCTTTTGAGGGGCTTCTGTTGATATGCGGCTGTTCATTCAGCCTTCCTTCCCGGTATTCTAAAAGGCCAGCACCATTAACCTTTTCAGACAACTGTCCCCTGAGCTTTCGGACAGGCCATGTGAGAAAGGATGATGAATCCTGCCTTCGCCTGGAAGAAGCTGTCTGCTCGTCCTAGAGTGGAGCCTGAGCCAAAACCTTATACTTTTCATTTTGGTTACATTACGGTCCAGCCGTGAAATGAAAAGATTGTTTAAACATATTAAATAAACAGATTTGGGGATGTACAATTAATCTCAGGGTGGGATTTTACTTACTCTCCTTGGGAACTAATTTTAATGAAAAATACTCTATTCATTGGGTGTTATAACGCTCTTGAAAGTTAAGGGAAAGTTGGGAAGTTAAGTCTGCTTTTCCTGCCCACCCAGAACCTCTGTTGAAGAGGATCTAGGTACTTACAGGAGAGAGATAATATTTACTTCCAAAGCCCTTTTATACATCTTTGCTTAACCATGAAGAACATGTTTTTCATCCTAAGCAGCCACTGGAGAAATCTGAACCCACCGTGATTTGCAATGGGGAGCCAAAAATAAGCTGTGGAAGCTACTCATCCAATTCCAGGTGGGCAGCATTATCCTGTGGGTCCCCCCCTCCTGCCTGTATCTCTGTGAGCAGGCACCACTGAGTTACCTGCCTCCAACACACACCCTCTGTCCTTTGCAGAAGATGTACAACCCCTTCTTCAGTCAAGTGCAGACGGGACCTTGAAGGCACCTAAGTTGTCTGGAATACCTTGACTCCGACTGTGAACATTTAGGGCAAATCTGCTGTTCTCAGTAGGTGGACGCCTTATTTGGTCTAGAGGCATTTTGCTATGTGGTTGAGTCATGAAGAGACACTAAAGGGGCTGCCAGTCTGTATTTTGAACCAGACACTGTCTTCCTTGTTATCACTGACCCCTGACAGACACACGGTACATAACCTTGATTGTGCCGCACTGGTGTTTTATTGCACATGGACCAATTCCTCACACAGTAGCTAGTTGTACCAGAGTATAAATACTTGGTCACATACACAAGAGGAAATAGAATATACACACGAGTGCTAAATTTTACCAGCAGATTCACGTGGGCACTTGGACATTAAAAAATAATAATAAAAATATGTAAATATTATTATAATATTTATAATATGGATACAGTTACAGTACCATGATAAGAGTATAAAAAGTAATTTCCCAATAAAGCATCAACTCAATAATATAATAGACAAGAGAAATTGAGTTTGAATTTTATTTAGCTTTTTAAGGTCTGCCCACCTCCCCATCCCATTAAAAATATTTAATTTTTGTGCAAGTTAACATCTTTTATGGACTTCACAATGCCTAACACTGTGCAAAATGGCATTTCCACCCCTTTTTTGTCGTCTTTCTTTTTAGCCACATGTGCGATAATCTCAACTGTTTCCTTTTTTTCTGTCCTATCTTCAGTTGACAGAGTCACATGTCACAAAGAGAGACTCGGCGCCTGGTCCTTCCAACTAATATTGATACATAAATAAGCTGTTTAATATAAACAAGTCTTTCTGTCTTGCTGTGCAATATGCACAGAGTGAGGTAGAAAACCCTCAGCAGGACCACCGAGGCGCGCAGGGGACAGGGTTTGCCCTCCAGAAGAAAGCAAGGTGAATCGTGTTCCACGAATAGCTTAACGTTTCTCCAAACCAGATTTATCTGCTTCGCGTCCATCTTTTCCCTTTGCTTTAAGAATAGGAGACACTAGGACTCCGGAATTAATATGCAATTTCTTTAGAAAGCAAAAGGAAACACTTCCTGGCTAATTATCACAGCTCCCACCCCCACCCCAACCTGGAGCTGGCTGCCTAGGTTCCTAGGTGTGGAACCGGAAGGCCAGGTGACAGACTTCAATCCTCCCCCTTACCCTCCCCACCTAGTTTCCACTTGGGCCCTTGCAGAAAATGTCAAAACCCATCTGGAAAAACGAAACAAAGCAAACCAAAACAAAAACAAAAACAAAGCCTAAAGGTGCATCACGAGTACACACAAAAGGCCGAACCACAGAGAGAAAGGAACCCAAGACGATCAGAAAGCCACACTCTCCCAACTCCTCCCAAACTTTCCTTTTTGCGCAACGGTCGGTCCGGAGCCTTTCTGTACGTTTTGGATGATTCGGATAGATCTGTGGGCTTCGAGTTCACCTGCTTTCGGTCTTGAGTAAACAGAGGTCTCCTCTCTCCCCTGGGGAGCGGCTCAGGGGCGGCCCGGCGAGCTCTCTTCCTCTAGGGACGCAGAGCCTGTGTCCAGGCCGGGACTTAGGGACCGGCGTCCGTGCGCCGCCGGGAGAGCCTGGCCCTCTACACCTTGGATTCCGAGGAGAAGCCCTGGCGCGCCGGCTCGTCCAGGCTCGAATCGCTGTCCACGGTCGTCGCTCCGCCGTTGCAGCCTGCCCAGGGCTCCAGCAGGCGCGCGGGTGGTGTGACCCCGGCATCGTCGTCGTCGTCGTCCGAGGGAGCTCCGGGGGACGGCGGCGGCCCAGCTCCCGCCAGGCAGCCCGAGGCGCGCGGCCGGTCCCCGCGGGATGCGCGGCGTCTGCGGGCGGCCCGGCGCGCGCAGCAGAGCAGGCGCTGGAAGGCCTTGCGGAAGTCGGGGCTGCGGCAGTAGATGATGGGGTTGAAGGCCGAGTTGGCGTAGCCCAGCCAGTTAAAGAAGACGAAGAGGCGATCGGGCACCAGGTCGCGGTGGAAGGCCTTCACCACGTTGGCCAGGAAGAAGGGCAGCCAGCAGAGCGTGAACACACCCATGATGATGCCCAGCGTCTTGAGCGCCTTCTGCTCGCGTAGGGCCACGAGGCGCGACGGCCGCCGCTTGCTGGAGCGCCCGTTGGCCAGCGAGTCTGCGGGGCGCGGTGGCCCTGGCGACGGCGAGGGCGCGGGTGAGGGCGGCCGGGCCGGACCGCTGAGGAAGCGGCGCTCGCAACTGTCGATCTTCTTCACCTGCTTCTGGGCCTCGCGGAAGACCCTCAGGTACACGAAGGCCATGATGCACAGGGGCACGTAGAAGGAGACGACGGACGAGGCGATGGCGTAGGCCCGGTTGGTGACGAAATCGCAGCACTTGGGGTCGTTGTAGCAGCGGCGCGCCTCGTCGCTCTCGGCCCGCCACCAGTGCATGAGGATGGGCAGAAAGGACACCAGAGCCGAGATGGCCCACACCGTGCACACGAGGGCCCGCGCTCGCGCGCGCGTCAGCAGGCTCTGGTAGCGGAAGGGCGACGTGATGGCGAGGTAGCGGTCCAGGGCGATGACACACAGGGTCTCGATGCTGGCCGTCACACACAGCACGTCCACCGAAGTCCAGAGCTCGCAGAAAAAGGAGCCGTACTCCCAGCGGCCCCACACCACTATGGTGGCCCCGAAGGGCACCACCAGCAGTCCCATGACCAGGTCGGCGCTGGCCAGGGACATGATGAAGAGGTTGGTGAGCGTCTGCAGCCGCGGGGTCTTGGCGATGGCCACGATCACCAGCACGTTGCCTACCACGATGAGCAACACGATGAGCGCCAGCAATAGGCCCATGCCCGCAGTCCACTGCTGCGACAGCGGCGCTGAGCCCTCGCTGGCGGGAGGCAGCAGCGAGGCGGGCGGCGACGCGAGCACCAGCAGCCGCGCCGCGGTGGCCGCGCCGTCGGGCAGCGGCGCGGCCGACGACAGGTTGCAGGGTTCGGAGGCGCCCAGGGCGAGCGCCCCCGCGCCCATGCCGAGCTGCGGAGGCCGGGGGCGGGGGGGTGTGGCGGGACTGGGCCGCGGCTGGGGGAACACCCCGGGAGCCGGGGCTGCGGGGCCCGCGCGGGGAGGTCGCGGCCAGGTCAGGGCAGCCGCGGCTCGGGGCCGGAGGCATGGACGCCGGGCGCCTTCTCCGCCGGAGCCGAGCGCTGTCGCCGCCGCCGCCGCCGCCGCTGCTGCTGGAGCCGCTGCCGCTGCTGGAAGAGCCGCCGGGACCTCAGCATGTTTCTGAGCGCGCGGGGGCCGACAGCTCCGGCACCCAACACCCACCCCACCCCCCGCTGCCACCCCCCCCCCCCCCCCCAGCCAGCCCCCGGGGCCGCGCGTCAAGCTCCCGCAGCCAATCGCCGCCAAGGCACGCCCCCGACCGTGGTGCCCCCACCCCCCCCAACACCCGGCACCCCCTCCTACCCGCGATTTGAGCGGCTCCAAAGATTCCGGGCGTTCTGCGGAGCCAGCACCTCCCCGGCACCCACCGGCTGCAGCGAGCGCGCCCTTTCCTGCTCCGGCTTCTACCAGAGTCGCGACTGCTGCGCCCCCTGCGGCGTCCGCCGGCCCCTGCGTCCCCCGCCCCCTCCAGGGGTCCCCGCTCGCCCCAGCACCCAGCTCTCCTTCTGCCTCCGGCGCACCGCTCCCGTCCTAGCTCCCCTCCTTCCCTTCGGCGCCCCGCAGCTCCCGAGTCTCTCTACCTCCGGTGCCGAGGTCCCTGCAGCGAGAAGGGAATCTTGCTGGCTTTCTGGAGACGCCGGAGTACCTTCCTTGGACAGCCTATCCGCTGGGGTTGGAGGAGTCTAGCCGCGGGACTGGTTCTGCCATCAGGCAGCCTGGCCCTTCCCTGACGGAGAGAGGACCCGGCCAGCCCGACAGCTTGCGGGAATGGGAAGTGGGTGTTAGTGGTTAGAGGAAACTTTCCAGCCAGGCGGGTCGCATCTGTCAGAAAGGCTCTCTGGGCGCTGTTCTCGCGCGGAGCTGCGCTGTATGTCACTCAAGTGCAGTCGATGGAGAAAGGAAGTGAGGGTTTGTGGATGTGACAGCCAACGCCAAGGACCAGTCTCTCTCTCTCTCTCTCTCTCTCTCTCTCTCTCTCTCTCTCTCTCTCTCTCTCTCTCTCTCTCTCTCCTCTCTCTCTCTCTCTCTCTCTCTCCCCCTCCCTCCTTCCCCCCAACCCCAGCTAAGGAAAATGACGCCGAGGCGTGTTCCCAGTATAAAGGAGAAGTTTAGGGCAACACTAAGTCGAGTAGATGGCACCACCACCCCGCTTAGAAAGAACACACGGAATGGCGCTTCAGACTTTTTGGCCCTGGTATTAACACCTTAACACCTGCGTTTGTGCTCTGCCGCCCATAGGGTTTTATAATCCGAGCTGAGGCAACACAAGGAACCTTTTGGTTGACGTCATGAACTGGAATTCAGATTTCTTGGTAGAATAGCTGTTTTCTCCTTTGCCCAACTTCCCAGATTCTCAAAACTGTGGGATTAGCTTTGGAAAGACAAGGGAAGAAAATATATAAACACCCAAGGCGATTAAATCTGAAAGTATTTCAAGTTATATCACATTTTCCCCTTCACATTGGCAAGTGAATCTGAAACTAGAGTGGTTAGCTTTTTTTCAGGTGGACTGGATGATGAATGGTGAGGATGGACCTCAGGGCTGGGGTGGGCCTCTCTGATTTGTCCCTGGGAATACCCCCACCTCAGGCTTTAAAAAAGGGATCTGTGATTGAGTTCTTGAGAAGCAAACAGTTTCCAATCATCTCAGAAGGGTGTACGGTATGTTATATAATGTTATGTAATGCTCACGAGTCTTTCGTGCATTGGAATAAAAAGCATAGCACCTGGAGGGAGCATCAACCTGTGGCCAGGCTGGGGTTCTCACCGGCAGAAAGATGCCTCCACAACTGTCTAGAGCAAAGAGTGAGCTTACACCCTTTATAAAGGCAAACACATGGGTGTGCTTTCGACTCAAGCTTGACCATTGAGAGTGTTACAACTGGGGAGTTTTGTTTATTCACCCCTGCCCTGGACTTATCGAGCGTCAGTTTCTGCCAACTTGGGGAGTTTTGAGAATCTGGGAACAGGAGCTACACAGGGGTGGAAGGAGCTGGCACCCATAGTCACCCCAGCCTTTTCAAGTCAGGGTCTCCCCTTCCGCAGGCTTTTGGAGGAAGGGTGTGTCGGAGACAATCTGAAAGCACACAGTGTTTTGAAATAAGTTGACATTGAGGCTGACCAGGAAAGGGCCTCTGAGGGCTGGGGTATAGGGAATGTGGGAAAGAGGCAGTCTGCTAAGTCCTGTTATTGGGGTGCAGTGTGTCAACCTCGTGACCCCAGGGCATGGTATTTCTGGGAGTGATAAGGTGAGGACTGAGCTGTAGAGGTTTGAGTCAGGAGCTGGGGCCAGCAACCTTGTGTTATTTATATGTACAAACACATCATGCAGCAGGACCACGGTTCTGGCACTTTCCCCCGATCATTTGGTGTTACATCAAGTTTCTCTGTATTTCTGTGCAAGAAATACATTCAAGTGTAAATGTTCCGAACCAGGAGGCTTTCTAACAGGGCCTTCAGTAGAGGGCTGCAAGCAGAGAGGAATCCCAGATATTCTTGGGGACTTTCCTCAGCTGTCCTGGCAGGTGAATTTGGAATAGTGTGGCTTCAGCTAGCATGTAGGCAACATTTTTACTTTCTTCTTCTTCTTCTTCTTCTTCTTCTTCTTCTTCTTCTTCTTCTTCTTCTTCTTCTTCTTCTTCTTCTTCTTCTTCTTCCTCTTCCTCCTCCTCCTCCTCCTCCTCCTCCTCCTCCTCCTCCTCCTTCTTCTTCTTCTTCTTCTTCTTCTTCTTCTTCTTCTTCCTCTTCCTCCTCCTCCTCCTCCTCCTTCTTCTTCTTCTTCTTCCTCTTCCTCCTCCTTCTCCCCTCCTCCTCCTCCTCCTCCTCCTCCTCTTCTTCTTCTTCTTCTTCTTCTTCTTCTTCTTTCTCTTCTTCTTCTTCTTCTTCTTCTTCTTCTCTTCTTCTTCTTCTTCTTCTTTCTTCTTCTTTCTTCTTCTTTTTGCCAGCACTTTTATCCTTAGATAAGGATATAAGATTAAGAAGAAGATCAATGTAACTACTGATTCAGTTTTGTTTTCTGTTTGCTATGGCAGGACACCTGAAACTGGGTAATGTGTGAAGGGGTTTATTTTGGCTCAGAATTCCCAAGGTTGGGAGGTTCAAGTCCAGGCCGCTGCATCTGATGAGGGACTCCTGTGCAGAGCGGAAAGCCCCCAGGGGTTAACCTTCATTTGTAACACCCTGCTCTCCAGACAGCAGCTCACTGTCAAGGCAACTGTGCTCATCCTGTTGCACCCGACCACTGCTTAATGCTTCCACCCCTCAAGCCAACCCTGTTCAAACAGCATCAGCTTGCACCCATGTCAGAGGTTTCAAGTCAAAATCTTTTCTACTTGCCACTCAAGGTGGATCAGTGCGTAGGAACCCACAGGTTTAGCAATACTTCAGAAAATAGGAGAAAGTTCTAGTGCTAATCAGAGCACTTGAGAGATCATGAGACCCTTCCTCGGAGTCCCCACCCCATGGCCGCCTTTCTGGGTTCGCTCCCTGCACTCCACAGGAGAGTGTGCTCTCAGTCACTAATTCTCCTCATTCCATTTAATCTCACACTGCAGGGCTGAGCATGTAGCTCAGCTGTATAGCATTTGCCTAGCAGGCAAAGGCCCTGGTTTTGACAGAAAGCAACGTATGTACTGCCTAGTTTAATGTATCAGTGCCAAGTTAATATTTCCAAAGGGCTGACGTCACCAAGAGGCTTTTTAGTTCAGAACCTCAAGGCCCCTCAGCCCAGCTCCACCTATCGATGGGCTTTTCACCATGGATGTCCCACAGTGTAGAACTCTCTACGCTGGATCCCATCATGTGAAGTTCTTCATTGTTTCCCTGGTTTTGGATCCAGTCTTTTTCCGTAGCTGGGGTATATTCTCATCTTGCTTCTCTCTCTTCCTGCTGCCTTCTCTGCCTGTTGCTTCTGGAAATGACCTCTGACTGACCTACAGTAGCTGTTTCAGGTGGCTGTGCTAGATTGCCTTTTGACGTCTCTTAAATCATTTTGATCTCTGTGTGATTTTTTCCCCTTTTCTAGGTCATATGCTTATGGAGAGTTGGCACTATCTTACCATTTTTACAGATTCTATGTTCATTAATAATTACTTGACATTAATTAATATTTAATGTGGATTCATAAATGTCATATTTAATTAAAATATTGTTTTGCGTGAATGAGAAGTGGTTGAATATTTCAGAACTTGGAATCTTTACTCATACTTACAACTCACATAATAATTATTATTCCCATATTTCCATATAAGCACCTCAAAATGCTGCTTTTATAAACAGAGTCTCATTGTGTAGCCCATTCTATCCTGTGGTCCAGGCTAGCTTTAAGCCCTGTCTTAGGCTCCTAGACGCTGAGGTGACGTGTGCTGAACTGCCACACTCAGCTAAGCACTTTGAAACACTGGAAATGTCATGACGTTACCTGTCCCCCCACCCCCCATTTCCACCCTGGGAAGATTGCTGATGCCTTGAATCTCATTCCAAGTTCTAGATCAAGTCAAATAACTATAGAACAATGATTAATAGTCACTCCACCCCACTCGTGGTTATAACCATGAACCTGACAAGGCTATTTTCACTCTTGAAAATGCAAGGTGAGAATTCAGACAGCTGCTGGAGACAGGCAGGTGAAAACCGAGGAAACGTATCAAAATCTGTTAGCAAAGTTTGCCTGGAGGCTGATAATAACCCCAAGCTACTTGTAATCAAGGTATCACTAATCAAAAGATCTCCTAATCAGAGTCTAAGTGGCTCTTCCTAAGGATAGAGACACAATGTTTCACCTGAAGCCATATGGCTGCTCCAAGATCAGTCAGTGTTCACTAACTGAAGGACAGCCTGGCTCAGGCTGGCTCTTGAGGTCACATGCTGGGTTTGTAGCCACTATGGTCACAACAAGCACAGAGGATCGTGTACAGTAAGCATGGCCAAGGCTGGGGCTATTTGGAAAATTCAAAAGCTTCTCCTCTCCCCACCTCCTTCCTCCTTCTCTGCCTCCTCCTCTTCCTGGTGTGTCTGACAAGTACATTGAACAATGCTGGAGCCAATAATAATATTTTTCGAAAATTGGATGCATTGAAGTGTTCGGATGGGGAGGCAGAAGACACAGGCTCCTGCCTGGCTTCGTCATTTGACCTTCCCTAGTGACTTCACCTTTCAAAAGGACTCACTGTTCGGCCTCCCCCGCGCCCCCCCCCCCCCGTTACATGTGAAATAAATGACGTACTGTACAGAGACATTTTTTAAAAATCTAAGCACCATGTATTCGTAACACATCGAAGGCTGTCTTATCGTTGTGACCTTTCAGATCACAGAGGGCGCCAAGACGTGCAGAAGAGTCCATGCCCCTAGATAAGCTTCTCTTAGTCACTGTGACCCCCTTCGTTGTCACATTCAATATTCATATGACTCAGAAGCTCGGTAACAGGGAACTATTTTTAATTCTCCTATCACGAACAAATCACTTAAAAGATTATTTTTCCTAAAAAATAAATATGCATGTATTTTTCTTTTTCATATCCTTACTTGGTATATGTACCTTACCTTTTGTTCTTTTCCTTTTTTCTGTGTGTCTGGTATCAAACTTGGGTCCTTATACCTGGTAAGCAAATGCTATACCACATGCCAGCCCATACCCCACTTTTTATTTTTGAAAAATTTAATTATGTGTATAAATGTTTTACCTGCATGTATGTCTGTGCATCATGTGTGTGTGCCTGATGCCCAAGCAGACCAGAAGACATCAGATCCTCTGGAACTGAAGTCATAGATGAAGATGAGATTTCATGTGGTGCTGGAATTGAACCTGGGTCCTCTGGAAGTATTCTTCCCTGCTAAGTCACCCCCCCAGCCCTTATTTAAAATATGTTTTAAATTGCTATGTGTAGGTGTGAGTGCACACGGTGAGGAGCCGTGGGGTAGCGGGGTCAGAGGGCAGGCTGTGGTGTGGCTTCTCTACATCCACCCTTTACGTAGTTTTTGAAGATGGAACTCGGGTTTCCAGGCTTCCAGGCAAGCTCCTCTGCCTAGGCTGTTTCACTGGCAAATCACTCCATCTTTTTAAAGAAAGAATTTTTGCTTGTGTGCTTCTCCCATCCAAATTTCTCTTAGTGTATTTCAGTAGTGAACTATGAGCAACAGAGAGAGGAGCCGTTCTCTGTTTAATGCCCTGACTAGCAACCTGAAGGGAAGGAGGCCGATGCAAGGCAGCTAGGCACAAACCGGAAAGCAACCCTCAAGGTTTCTGCTGTTACTCAGTTGTGGAAGGAGTGAAGAATGGCTGGTCAGTTGAAATCCCACCTTCATGTGCATATTGCCACCACAGGTGAGAAGCCTTGGCTGACCGATTTCCTTCGATTTGCCCAAGTCCAGATTTGTGACAACAAGCTGTGCAAATTACCAAAAATCTGGGTTTTCTTTTTAGCAGTCTTAATGTGTTCCAGAAAAAACAATTACGTTGTAGGCACTGACAAGTTCATAGCAACAAGAATTCCAAAGCCCTTGGTTGTAAGTGTCCAAAGGAGAGGAATGTTGTCTTCTAAACATTTGACCTCCCATTTGTCCTGGCCATGTAGAAAATGCTTACTAAAGTTCTGTGGACTAATGGGAACCACTTAAAAGGTTATGTCTAGCAGATTCTCTATAACAAAAGAGGACATTGTGTTTTCCCTTCAGCCATGGAAGGGAGTCATCAGGGCCACCCAAATGAATGAACTTGCCAAGAGGAACAGGCGAAAAAGGCTGTTTTTCTGCTTCATCGCTGGATGGCAAAGCCAACTGTTTGTGTTTCTTTCTTTCTACTTACTACTTTGAGAATGCCAAACAGACATCTTCTTTCATCTTTGTATTGTATAGATATTTTTGTGACTAACATACTCCTTATCTACAGACTGTAAAAATGTCTGCGCAGACCTTAGTAAATAGAGGCATGCCATGGCCTTTGTCCCAGCAGGACAGAGTCAGCCTGAAGACTACTTTGTTTTTGATAACCACTGTGGTCAGGCTTCTTGCTTTGAAAATAAATATCAAACCTTTGACATGACATTTATTTTCCATAATGTCTCAGCTTTGACTCTCCTTGAATAAAACCTACTGGAGACCTTTATCTGATGAAGAGATTTGTTTCCCCACCAGAGATTATCCTGTAATTAAATGTTAAGGGGGCAATGACCTTCTTTTCAGACTCCTGCTAAATTTAAATTATCTTTCATACCAGTAGAGAAATGCCTTCCCTCTAACCCCCACCCTGCTCTCTCTACCTTCTTGAACATAGAAAACTGAAGCAAGAGAAGGAAGATCTGAACACTTTCAAGGAGTGAGAGCAGCTCTTTTGACTTCCTAATTCCATGAGTTGATCTTTAACTGTCCAATCTCCCATCTTGGTAGACACTGTTCACCCATTGCTACTTGTGAGCAGACTTTAATTGTGAGATATGTTTGGAGACTTGGGAAAAGTCTTGAAGTCAGCTTTTAAGTGGCCAGTTGTGAACAGATGAAATGGCTCTGTCATGTAACATTTGTTTGCGTTTTCTATTGGTTTAAGTAAAATAGGTCTAGGATAGCCATAGCATTCATCCACACAAATGAAAATCTCATTGTTGACACACGTTAGTGTGGATTTCTAGAAGTTCCACATGAATATTAACTCTGAAGACAGGAAACACCAGAGAAAAGCTAATCAATTAAGCCCTTTGGAGCTTTAATATGTAAGTGGAAAAAGAGAAATTCTTCCTGAGAATATGAGGCTCCAGAGTTGTGGTGCCCCTGGTGAGTGTCAGTCAAGTGCTCCACTGGAGCCCCTGGGGGCGTTTGGAAGCAAGCCCTACGTGTTTTATTATTTGTGTACCCTGAGTAGTGTCATTCCAGACTAGGGAGTCAAGTGACATGTACCTTGAGCTCTAACTCGCCAAATCCCTGCCGAGACCTGAGAGTGCTCACAGTGACATTGATCCTGCTGTCCCAGATGGTTACATCGATGGTACTGCCATAATATTTTTTTTTTTTTAAATTCTGCAATCTGTAAAGGGATGGCTGTCCTCTGACTTGTGACCCACTGCCTGCCTTCCCTCTTAACTGAGGCCCATCGACTCCTTTGCAGCAAGATTTAAAAAAATATTTTTTTGTTCTTGGCTGTCAGTTCTTAAACCTGTGCTGGCCTGGGACTCACCATCTTCCTGCCTGAGCCCCTTTAGTGGAATTACAGATGTGCACCTCCATGTCTGGCTTGCAGCAAGGTTTGGAGAGCTTCTTTCACCACTGCTGCTCAGTGGATCGAAACAGGTCCACATCTTCACTCCTGGGCGCTGTTTGCAGCGGGCTCTTCCAGGAGACAGCTGAGAACAAAATTTACGTATTAGGCAACTTAAAAACCCACAATTAACTACGCCAAAAGAGGAAAATCAGTATTTTAGAACAGATATATTTTGAAAACATCTGGAACCTACGCATTTGTGTCTTAGATGGTTTTTACTGCACAATTTAAAATGATGGCATTTTAGCAAGATTACACTAATTTTAGTAATTAGTTTTGACATTTACCTCAAATATATGTGTGTCTGTGTGAGGTGTGTGTGTGTGTGTGTGTGTGTGTGTGTGTGTGTGTGTGTGTGTATTTCTCTGGATGTGTGTATATATACCTTGATGAGTAAGAACGCTACGGAGTCAGACTGTGTGAGTTAAAATCCATGCTCTGCCAGGTCAGTTAGATGACTCAGGATAAGTGATGTGAATACTTTAGTCCTTAGCTTTGACATCTGTTGAATGGGAACAAGAATGCCCACCTCTAAGATGTTTGCCATGATAGAGCACAGGAGACATGTGGTATCGTTCTCAGCTCATCACAAGCACTTCAGAAATATCAGCTCTTCCATGGATTGTTTTCAGTAACCAAACCACGAGAGGACAGCAGAAGGATTATGTCATAAAATACAAAAAGCTCGTTATATACAAGAAAACAGCAGTGGCCAAAGAGATAACTTCTAATCAGTGAAGCTGAAGAGAGGTCTGTTCTAAAGTGGGAGCATGCACTAATGAATCTTATTTGGTAAGCACTTTTTTATTTCAGAGGCAAATTTATTCCTTTGTGGCCATTTCATCTTATTATTGTTCCATTTGGGGAATTTGAATTTCCCAAACTAATTTTGCATCATGAAAAGGTCATTCCAGAGAGGTCCCCCTGTGGTACAACCATTCCAAATAAATAGAAAACAATAATGGCAAAGCTCAGCCCACTCAACTCTTATTAGGGAAATTTATTTTCCCAGCCATACTTAGTCAAGCTGCTCTCTTGAAGGTACAAATTTACAAGATCCCAGTGGGTCTGGAAGGTTCCCTTGCGACCAGCTTATGTCAAGGCAACAGCACATTTGTGGAGCTGAGGCTGTGACACCTTCATCCATGAAGATGGGAGGCAAGGAGTGACTTTCCAACCAGAAGGGGAGATTTTCCAAGTCCATGTGGTTAGCCTCCGGGAGAATCTTACAGACTAACTTAATACTACGAATTTAACTTTAGAGTTTTAATGTCTTCTTAGTTTAGATTTTGTTCTTTCACAATAGATTAAAAGAAAATTGGGATGAAGGGGTGTGGATGATGCAAGGAGTGGAGAAACCATCCCGGAATTTCCTATCAGAAGAGAGCACCAGGAAGTCACTGTTGCCACTTACTGAAAACAAGACTCTTGTGCATCCAGTGTCACTGATAAATCCCTGTTATCAGAGCTGTCACGTGATGTTTCCTATGACGTCCATCTTTGAGAATTCAAACAGGATATTTTGGAAACATTTTTTCCCTAGAAAACAGGAGGATGAGAATTTGAGAGTTATTTTCCATACTGCTTCAATTATGCAAAAAGTGAATTTAAATAGCCTGTCATTCCCCAGTGTCCTGGGCTAATGGAGGATGACTCAGTTTGCTGGAAGCTCACACTGGAGGTGTGGGCAGCTGGCTCCTCCTGAGGGCTGTGAGGGAAAGAGCTATCTGAGACCCCTTTTCTTGGCTTGTGGAAGGCCACCTTCTTCTGTTTCTGTCTCTGTGCCCCAACATTTCTTTCTCACTTGTCATATCGGATCAGGGTCAGCTCTAATGATCTCATGGTTATTCACCAGTCTCTGTAAAGACTAATTCCAAATAAGATCACGTTGTAAAGCACCAAGGATTTCGAGTCCGATATACCTCTTGGGTGCATATTTCAAGCTATAGCATAAGAAACTTTATGCACAGCCTTAGTCACCTGTATAAAGTGCATGCCACATTTATTGACCTCTGGGACAAATGGCTGACCTAAGGAGGATTGCTATTTCATTTTGAGACAGCACCCCCAAATGTGGAATCCAGACCATGGTGATATAATGTTGCATGAATACAACACGGAGATTATTTCATGTGAAGTGCCCACATAAGCTGGGGAATCAGCCTGGGTCTCAGAAGTGGGGGAGTGTAAGGCGTATCTCCCTCATGTGTGTGCTTAAGATGGGGAAGAATAACTGTTGTTTCATAGCTTTTATTGGAAGACATGAACCTCAACAACTTTCTTGTACACAGGATCAAACAGCTCAGCTTTCTGCTAGTGATTTGGAGTCATAAAGAAAAGTCAGGTAATCCATTTGCTGTGTCAGTGGGTTCTTTTTACAAACTGCTTTGATCTTGTGGACACAAACTCAGAATCTTTTCCCATGGATGCAACATGGCTGTTATTTTTTCCAAGAAAGAATTAGTGTAACAGACAGCAAATAACCATGTAGGGAAAAAATACAACAAACCTTTATAACCAAAGAACAAAGCCAGCCTTTGAGGCCAGGTGAGGCCAGGTACTCACACAGAACCTAGTGAAACCAGGGTTTTATGACCTTGAAGTTAAGACTTTGATCCACAAAGTGTTTCAGATCCTAAAATATCAGTGAGGAAATAGCTCCTTTCAGCATCTTGATTTAGCTTTAGATTTATTATAGGAGCAGCTCCATAGTATTTGTCTAGCATGCACAAAGGATTTAATCTCAGTAACACACACACACACACACACACACACACACACACACACACACACACACAATTATAGGGAATCTGAAGTTCCATGGATATCTTATGTGTTCTTAAACTGTGTACCAACTCTCCACTGTATACCAATAACCAAAACAAACAATATTGTAAAATATTGGTGTGTACATGGGACATGTGTGTGGTGTACTGCGTACATGGGTGTTTGTATGTGTGAATGCAAGCATGCATGTAAGGGGGTCAGAGGACAACCTTGCGTGGCAGTCAGTCCTCTAGCTCTATCTGCTTAAGACAGGCTCTCTCCATTGTTTGCCACTAATCCACCAGGTTTCAGGGTCACCACCTCTCATCTCGCCATAGAAACATTAGGGTTACAGACGGGAGAGCTAGCTCCTCCAACTTTGTGTGGGTGCTTGGAATTCAAACTCAGGTCCTTGTGTTCACACAGACAGTGCTCTGCCACTGAGACAGTCTTATGATCACACAGAGAGCTCTCTGCCCACTGAGACAGCCTTGTGATCACACAGACAGCCCTCTACCACTGAGACAGCCTTGTGCTCACACAGACAGTGCTCCACCCACTCAGACAGCCTTGTGCTCACACAGACAGTGCTCCACCCACTCAGACAGCCTTGTGCTCACGCAGACAGCCCTCTACCCACTGAGACAGCCTTGTGCTCACACAGACAGCCTTGTGCTCACACAGACAGTGCTCTACTCACTGAGACAGACAGCCTTGTACTCACACAGACAGCCCTCTACCACTGAGACAGCCTTGTGCTCACACAGACAGCCTTGTGCTCACACAGACAGCCTTGTGCTCACACAGACAGCCCTCTACCACTGAGACAGCCTTGTGATCACACAGTGTTCTACCCACTCAGACAGCCTTGTGCTCACACAGACAGTGCCCTACCCACTGAGACAGCCTTGTGCTCAGACAGACACCCTTGTGCTCACACAGACAGCTCTCTGCCCACTGAGACAGCCTTATGCTCGAACAGACAGCACTCTACCCACTGAGACATCTCCCTGTCCTCCAAACCAACATCATCTTAATCTGTGCCTGGCCATGAACCAAACAAACCTCAGATTTATGCAGAACAACCCTACCTCCGAATCGTCACCTAACTGAGGTCCAAGTGCTGTCACCAATGACTTGTCTTCCCATCCGATTCTAAGTCTGGCTCAGCCTGTCATGGATCCCTCCACGTCAGGAGCTGAATGTGCAAGCAGATGCCCATGATTTCCAAGTAGGAAAAATCCAGGGATCACGCTAACATAGTATGCCATTCTATAAGTACCAATGCCAACTCCTCCCTGGATAGATCTGCTATATCTGTGTTACATAAACAGCATGGATTTAGATGTATTTGATTCTCTATTTTTAAAAATGTCATATGTGAGGGTTTTTTTTAATGGCTGGGCTAGTTTAGCTGAAAAATCTTATGTAAGATAGCACTTAAAAGCTCGAATCTGTGGGTCTGTGTATTATTTAGTCATCTGTTTGTGCAACTGTATTTTTAACTTAATTTATGGTGAGCAAACAGCTCCTCTGAACTCTCAAGCTGTGTTTCCCTACTTCAGTTTATTTTCCTCTCGGTTTCCTTCACAACACCTTACAAGGAACTTTCTCTGGGAACTTGCTGTGATGCTTCCGTGGAGGTGAAGAGCATCCCTCAGAAAACAGCCCAGCCAAGTGAGCAAAGCGAGGCTTGGAATGGAATCCCCGTGCGAGCCGCGTTCCTTCCAACGCCATGCAGTGCAGATGCCGATCTATGTTACAGACTCTTTCAAAACCGGCGTCTGACTAAACTGAGACACTGTGCCACGAGCGCCATTTGTAATGTCTCGTTTAGTTATTATAATAGTCCTGTCAGATAATTGTTTTCACTTTAGGAGCAAAGAAATGAAAGACTAGAGGGGTTGATTCGCCCGACACCTCACAACACTAAGGTGTGACTTGCAACCCAGTGCTTTCGCCCCCTTTCCTGTCGCTGTGACTAAACATTTCGACAAAAGCCACTCAAAGCAGGAAGGTTTGTTTTAGCACACGATTCGAGGCACGGTCCACCAGGGCAGGAGATGTCCCTGGAGCTCGGGGCTGCTGGCCACACCGCATCCACAGTAAAGAAGCCGGTAGCAACGGATGAATGCACCTTGCTGCCAGGCATCTGCTCTCCTCACGTTCAGTCCAGGACCCAGTCCCTGCTGCCGGTGTTCGGGTTGGGTCTTCCTGCCTCCATTAACTTATGAAGAAAACCCCTCACAGGTAGGCCCGTTCCCCAGGTAATTCTCGATGTTGTCAAGCTGATAGTTAACACACATTATCACACCAGGTCTGTGAGACTCCAGAGCTGAAGCTCTCCAACAAAAGGGAACCCTCCCTTTCTCATTCTTTTGAAATAGTTTATTTATTTGAAATTGAGATAGAAGGTCAGCTGATACTACAAAGCTTACGTGAGAGGCTAGGGGTGTAGATCAGTGGTAGAGCACGTGCCTAGTGTGTGGGGGCCCAGGGCTTGATCTCTAGTACTATGCACTTACACATGTGTGAGCACATGTGCACACATGTATGCACTTGAACACACACACACACACACACACACACACACACACACACCATTAAGTGAATACTGTGCAATCCTGCAATACAAACTTTTCTTGCTGCTCCTCTTCTGTAAGAACCTCATTTGTAAGGATGTTTTCTACGAACATTTGAGACTGGTTCCACAGAAGTTACCAGGTTCTCTGTTAAGCATCTCCTCTCTTTAGCTGTAGCCATGTCAAGTCTTCCCCTCAAATTCCTTCAGAATCCACAGTTGTGCCCACTTAATGCCTGCAGGGTTTCTGTCTCAACTCTGTGACAGTGGGTAAGAAAATGATCCTTACCTGGAGGCCATGCTGACAGGAACACCCTTGATGGGAGACATGCTCCCTCTCCTGGACCCCCACACTCTCTCTGCTGAGCAGGATGTAAGGCAGCTGGCAGACTTTTTCATGCATGAATCAGGTACCAGTTTCTGTGTCCCCAGGGCAGGGCCTCAGATCACTCCTAAGGCCTGCTGCTTTGTTTGAATGTGAAGAAGAGTGCCACAGTGTTCCCACAACTCTGCAAGGATAAGGAACCCATTATCAAGCCTGTTTAAAGATCCTACAGATGAGGCCCTGGAGACCCCGGAAAGCTCTTTTTGGGCCACCTCTTGAGAGTTTATACAGATGGCCTGGCATGTTCTGAAGGATGTGTGGGCACCACCTAATGCTCCTTGTTCTCAGCTTTGGGGTCTTGGTTTGGACAAAGACATCAGAACATCCTAATTTAACTCCCAGCTACGCACAGATTTGGTAGCTGAGCACAGAGTCGTAATTAGAATTGCTGGGGAGGAGAAGCAGAGGAGAGGCCTGCCTGCTTACGGGAGTGTGCAGAGAGGGAGGCAGCCAGAGACAGGCAGCACGATGTCCATAAGAAGCAAAGGAAGGAGGAGCCCACACTCAACATTCCAAAGCACGGAGCCAGGCCCCTAGGAGGTGAGGATGCAAAGAAGCAGGAGTGAGGTTCTCCGGAAGGGTTGAAGTAGTAAGGATGAGATGTGCACGTGCATGGAGCTGACAAAAGACAGGCTGATTTAATTAAAAAGAAGGGATGATGTGTGTGGAAACCAGCTATCCACAGCTGAGACAAAAGACCCTGAAGAAATCAACTTAAATAAGTTAAAGATTTGTTTGGGCTCATGGCTTCAGTGCATGGCTCATTTGATCCAGTGGTGTTCAGGAAGGTGACACTGTGGAGAGAGGCTGCTCTCTTCATGAGATTTGAAGGAGGAGAGGTAGGGAAGGGTGAGGACAAGATAAATCCTTCAGATCCATAGCCCTATGACTCAGCTCCTCTACCTAAGCTCCACTTCCTCCGCCTAAGCTCCACCTCCTCCACCTAAGCTCCACCTCATCCACATAAGGTCCACCTCCTCCACCTAAGCTCCACCTCCTCCACATAAGGTCCACCTCATCCACATAAGCTCTGCCTCCTCCACCTAAGCTCCACCTCATCCACATAAGGTCCACCTCCTCCACCTAAGCTCCACCTCCTCCATCTAAGCTCCACCTCCTCCACCTAAGCTCCACCTCATCCACTTAAGCTCCAACTTGTAACAAGTCAGCTATGAATCCATAGACAGGTTAATCGAGGGATAAGGTTGTGGCCTCCTGTCTTGTCATTGCCAAACACCACTGGGCAAATGTATGAGTCTTTTGAGATATTCAGCTGTAACCTCCAGCTCACTCCTGCTTGATCTGGAAAGCCCCATTCCTCTCTCTCCAAACCCCACCCTCTCAGAGAATCTCCAACAAAGAAAAGGCACCAAAAAGCCCAGTTCTGTATTCTTGGCGGCTGTGGCAGCTCCATCCCTGAAGTTGCCAGCAGCCCAAGTTCCCACCTAAAGCACTCAGCTTTTGACCATACTTGGGCACAAACCCAGCTCGTGGCGGACACATCATTGCCCCTTGCCTACAGGCTATATAAGCTCCCGGCTTTAGTTCTGGCGTGTGACTTCTCCCGCCTCCATCTCTAGGGCTGGAGAGCTCACCTGGGAGTTGCTTTATTCAAATAAACCTGTTTTTACTTTTTCAGTTCGGCTTGATCCAACTTACTGCTTTGGGGAAGAAACTTATTATTGCAATAGCAATACAGAAAACGTATTATGGGATATTTCATTTCCTTTGTTTTATTTTTTGTTTACATTTATTTATTAATGTGTGTATGTGGAGGCCAAACCTGCCACCGCATGCATGTGGAAGCCAGAGGACAACTTGCAGAAATTGGTTCTCTCATTCTCCTGGTGGGTTCCTGCTGTGGAATAATTCTTCTGTACACTGTGAATTTGTATTACTCTCATTGCTTAATAAGAAACTGACTGGCCTATAACTGGGCAGGAAAGAGATTGGGCAGGAGAGACAGATGGGCAGAGTCTGGAGCTGGGAGCAGACACAGAGAGAGCAAGACGGGCGTGCCATGCTAAGAAAAGGTACCAAGCCACATAGTAAAGCATAGATAAGAAATATGGGTTAATTTAAATGTAAGAGCCGGCTAGTAGCAAGCCTGAGCTATTGGCCAAGCATATGTAATTAATATTACATATGTGTTTATTTTGGAGCTGCTGGAGGGACAGAAACTTCTACCAACAGGTTCCCAGGATTGAACTCAGGTCATCAGGTTTGATCACAAGTGCCTTTACTTGCTAAGCCATCTCACTGGCCCTTTGGGAACATTTTATATTCAAACCACAGACACATGTCACACAAGATCCATACCCTGAGACTTAGAATGTTCCAGTTCCCAGAAACCAAGAGTAAAAACACTAACAGCTCAACAGAAAATGAGCAAAAACCATGAACAGAGAGCTCCCAAGTGAAGACAGAGAAACGGCCTTTAAATGCTGACGCTGCCTAACCTCCGTCTCCGAGGAGGAACGGCAAGAACTGTGTGGCTCCACTTCTCACCTCTGAGCTTGGCCAAAGCTTTGACAATAGCCCGTGTTGGCCAGATGGTGGGGAAATGAGAACTCTGTTCAGAGTGCAAGGGGTTTCTGGTCCTGTCTCAAGGAGTCCGGTGATGTGTATTAGACATACAGATGTCTCCTCTGTGACAGGGATGGCCGAGCTGCTCACTTCCCTCTTTTGAGATAGGGACTCTTTCTGTGGAGCTCTGGCTGGCCTGAAATTCACACGAGTCTCTTGCCTCTGCCCTTAAGTTCTGGGACTACAAGGGTATGACGTCACATCAGGCCCCTGGGCTACTGTTCCTCACTTTGGCTTTGGACCAGCAGCTTCCCTGGTCTGCTGTCCTTAGCGTGGGTTGTTCCTTTGAGCTCTCTGTTTTGGCTGTCTCACCTCTCCCTGGTCTTAGATTCCTCAGAACTCAGAGGGCCAATCCAGTATCTTTTTCCACTTCTTTCTTCATTGGTCATCCTACCTATTCGCAATTCCTTTAAAAGAAGATTTATTTTTTATTATTTTAATTATGTGCGTTGGGGGAGGGGTATGTGCACATGAGTCCAAGTGCCCACAGAGGTCAGAGGTGTCAGGTTCCCCTGGAGCTGGAGTTACAGGCAGCTGTAAGCTGCCTGATGTGGGTGTTGGGAGGCACACTCAGGTCCTCAGGAAGAGCAGTTATTTGCTCTCAACCACTGAGCCATCTCTCCAGTCCTCCCAATACCTTCTTTTAAAAAAGATTTTTATTTTTTATTTTTAATTAAGAGAGTTTGTGAACCAGCAGCTTCTATGCTTGGTAAGG